ATATTTAATTGAACTCAGTATGATGACTAACACTGTGCAGATTTCCTATATTTTTAAAATTTTTATATATTATATCCTATTACACATTTTCTTATTTGGTCACCAGAACTTTTTGTATTTCATGTTCCTGTTATGTGCATATTTTTTAAATGGAGGATGGATAAGAAGTAATATTATGTAGTTGATTACTGTAAGGGTTAATTTTATGTGTTGTTGAGAGTTTAGCTAAACTACTCCATAATGTTGCTGCTTTGGCATCCATTTTGTGTGACCAAGCAGCCTCCAGGGGCCTTGAACTGACACTAGCCCCTCCCAAGAATGCATGCCCTAGATAACAGCCTGCAGAATCACAGGTAAATGTAAGTTCCTGGTATGATTCCCCCAATGGTACTTGTGATAAGCATTCTCCCTCGTCCACAGAGCCTTCCCCTTATGCACCTCTTATATAAGACCCCCAAGAAGCTTACCAGAACTTCACTCTTTTTGGTTTGAATTGACCAATCTGGCCTTAGTGTGGGAACCCTAAAGCACTCTACCTGCTGAATCCAATAAAAACATGTATCCCAGGTCCCACCATGCTCTCTCTGCCTGCACTATGCCTTGACCATCCCATGTAGCTCCTTGAGGCATGCTGTGCACCTCTTCCAGGATCCGTGAGTAATGAACTTTTCTATTTCACTTTCCCTTGCAGTCTTTTGTTGAATCGTGGCTCACCATCTGACATCCTGGGGCCCTACTTAACAAATGTTAATTTTAAAAAGTCACAACATGTGACTTGACTGGGCTAAGTGATGCCCAGACAGCAGCTGGTAACACATTATTTCTGAGTGTGTCAGACACAACACATATTATGTCTATTCACCTTTTGGAGACAACAAATTCCACACATCCATTTTACTTAAACCTGTATTTATGCTGTTATGTGCAAATCAGCTTCTTTCCATTGGGGAGAACTTCAACAAACTGCCTTGTGGCTGGCACAACAAGCCATACAACAGGCCCTGCCCTTAGTGCCCCCAGGCTCAGACTTTGCAGTTGAGTCACTGGTAATGTTTGATTACGCCTCATGGAGTCTCTGGTCTAAGCATGACTCTACCTGGCTGCCCATGGGGTTCTGGGCCAAATGCCTGCCCTAGACAGTAGCCACTGGGGCTCCAAATTTTGGCAGCCTACTGGGCCCTTTTAGAGACAGAGGCATCAACGGGGTCACAGCCCATACTGCTTCACACACAGGCACATACTGCTTCTCACTCAGGTCCCCATCCAACCCAGCAGAGGCTCGGCACGGCCACTGAGGCCTCACTGTTAAAATGGAAATGGTACCTTCAGGAAAAGGCTAAACCTGATGCCAAGGGCCTTTTCAGAATATTGGAGAATGTGGCTTCCCCCATACTCAGCCCCTTGCCCACTGACATTGAGGTGCAGCTAGTGGCATCCCCACTACTGGCCCCTCTAGCAGTTGGGGGAGCCCCTTGGGACCAACTGTCTGACATGGAAAGGCAGTCAGTGTTCGCTGATGTTAGGGCTACCATTGTACATGGTGCAGTCAGCTGGAAGGCTGTAGCATATCCCTCTAGCGGCACATCCCTAGTTGAGGAGTACTCTCCCAACTCGGCCCCACTGATAGAATTGGTGGCAGCACACCTAGCTCTACAACAGGCCATAAAAATGAGATTCCCAAGGGCATACATTTTTACTAACTTAAGTGCTGTAGCCGATGGGCTCACAGTCTGGTCTAGACAATGGCAAAAGGATAGTTTTGTGTTTCAGGGAAAGCCTTTCTGGGGTGCCTCAATTTGGAAAGAAATAGCTAACTCACATATGTTGATTACGGTCACTGTCTCTGCACATGCACACCAACAAACACCAAAAGCACATTATAGTAACATTGCAGACTCCTTATCAAATTACATGCCTATTTCAAGGCCCCACATTAGTTACCTGCCAGAGTACCAGACACAACTATTTCTCCAGAGATGCCACACTCATTAGAGTGGGCACATATTACATCAGGCCATAGGGGAGTGATGGCACTCACTGATTGGATATACAGGCATGGCATCCCCCTCACCCTGGCTCTAGCCAAACTGGTGGTAGATCATTGCCCCCTTTGCTCCCAAACAAAACTCTGTAAGGATCCCAGGTAGGGACATGTGCCCCAGGGCAACAGACCCTGTTCATGATGGCAAATTGATCTTATTGGACCGCTGCCGCCCTCTGCTGGACCTAGTAGGTATGAAACTACCATCACTGCAGTACTGTTGGCTCTTCCCTCCAGAAATGCTGCTTCCCATAATGTAATCTCCTTTTAACCGGGTATATGCTCATTCTGTTTGGCCCACTGGACATTATAGATGCAGACATGGTACCCATTTCATCTCCCAAGCTGTTCAGTCATGGGCTCTAGAGCATGGAATCTTGTGGACATTCTACCTCACTTACCAGCCCCAAGTAGCTGGACTTATGGAGAGGCACAATGGCTTACTCAAAGACATGCTCCTCAAGCTTTTGAACAATAAATGGTCCCCTAAATTGACAGAAATGTTACCCCAAGCTCTAATACTGCTTAATTCACAGCTGTCAGGTCTCTAAACCCCCCACACCAACTACTAGTCTTCGCCAGAGACTCCCCTGCTAGTCTTTACAGGAAACGCCCACTCCTTTGACATGAAAAAGGACCTCATTCACATCTGCTCACCAGATAAATGCTCCCATTACCATTTTGATTTTTTTATTGTCTCACCATTTGCCACATGCTGGCAACCTGATGGAGGGTGGATTGTGCAATATGACCCTTTTATAATAGAGACTCAAGGGGACAAACCCCTACCAAATTGCTTAGAGATCATGATTATACAGAATTTTATTGGCCCAGACGATGGCCCAGGACAAGCTGCAAAGCTAAGGCTGCCAACTTTGCCTCACTATTCTGGTTATAAAGGCTGGTTAATTAAACCAAATTCATCAAAAATTTTACAGGAGATTGAAATTATAGCTCCAGGACCCACTATTGGAACTGTGCGCATATCAGAAAGAGGAAAAGAGGCCTTCCACCTGGTGGATGCCAGCCACATTAGGAAATGAAATCCACAAAGGAACCCTGGAATCCAACAGTCAATATCAGCGGACACAGGCCAAGTCCCTATCCCATCTTAAATGAAGAGGTAAAGACCTATTGCTCCAAAGCAACCACATTCTACCATTGGTCAGTATCCAGACTGCAAGCCCTGAAGGAGGCCTCCACAAGCTAGTCAATTTCAAATGCTCTCCTTTGTTGAGGCTTTTGCTCTTATTGTGTACAGCCTGAATAATAGGGTTGTTAATAGACCTCTCAGGCCTAACCCTGTCCCAGGAGATGTACTGGACCCAAATTAGGTACACCTGCACCTCAGGATGGCTGAGCACCAGGTGCTGGAAGGCCCTGTTAGAAGGGCTTTGGCCAGCATGCCTCTGGGTGTGGATTCTGACCCAGACCTTATCTCCCTCTACATTAGATGGGCCAGTGGAAGTGATGCTTAAATGAGTTCCTCTCCTTATACCATGCCTCAGATTATATCCCAGGCAAAATGGCCCTCTCAATGTAACCAAATCAGTCCCATCTGGCTGGCAAGTTTGTGCTGTAATGATTCTACTACAGTCTTAATGGGGTGATCTCCAGATTATAAAGCTGCCAGACACAAAATGTCCCTACAATTAGCCCATCAGTGTACACAGAATCATTATTATGGATGGAGTTCCCACAAAGCTTGGTCATGGACATCGTGTGCTCTTTTGCAAGGTGCACCCCTGACGATCTGATGGAGCTCACTGGAATCTGCTCAACTAGCAGTAGATCCCATAGTTGTAATTCTATCCTGAGCCAGGCCTCTAACATATATACTCAGAATTTAACACCAGCCAGCCACTCCTACCCTTTGTGGTCTCCATCTGGGAAGACCACCCTCCCCCTGGGCTGGCCATAGCCATCCCCAAGTACACCAACACCTCAGATGATGTCACCCCAGCCTAAGAGAACAATGAGGGAGACAATGCACCCCAACCTTGCTGTAAATTGGGATTTACACCCCACCCGCCGGATCACCTCCTCACCAGGAGAGAAATGACAGTGGTGACTGTCAACCTGGGGGCCAAGTTGCAAAAATGCCTCTAGTTGATTGACCTTGAGGACCCTATAGAATACTATTTTTCTGAAATAGCTAACTGCTTGCCTTGTGAACCTTGCCTCTATCAAAACTCTTCCAAAACCGTAAGTTCCCTGCCAACTGCCTGGCAGCACTAATTCACTTTTCACCTTTATGGCAGGCCAAACAATGTATTCTAAACCACTCTAGCCACAATACAGCACATTCTCTCAACACCTCTAGCATAACTTGCTTAGATCCAAAGGTTAAGGACCTCTTGCTGCTGTGTTCGCTGCTCAACGTACTAGATTATAGCTTTTGCTTTCCATCTGACACATCCACAACAGACTACTTCCCTCATTATTCCCATTACCACCGCTGGCACCTCCTCCATACTCAAAATTACCGTATCCTCTCCTCCTCACATCTTAGCCATAAGTCCCTCCCTGTTGTAAGCCAAGACCTTACCCCACACCACAACTAAGTGGGCCAGATCCCACACTACAAATATGTTCATATAAACCTCCAAGATAGCAGACCAGGCCTTGCAAGTAAAACAGTGTTGGCTGTGTCACCATGCAGGGCCAGACCTACAGCCCCATGTCACTATCTACCCCACAGCTCTTCCTAGTGATCAGGCCTTTGTGCTAATTCCCTCCAAAACACTGTGAGTCTCATTTAAGCTGAACGAAACCCCTAATCTAGACCCCAGACAAAGCACTTTGTAAATAAGCATCAGAATAATTAACCCCCCCATGGCGGTACTTTCTAAAGACTACCAACTATACTCAAACACAAAGGTTGGACTTAACCTTGCATACTCACTTCCCCCTAATGGTAAATGGTAAATGGTTAATAATGCCTCATAAATAATGTGGACCTGACTTAAGGGGCCAGGAGCAAGTCTGCTTGACCCTGCTCCACCCACAAGCTATCTGTGGAGATGACCCCTATTATTGCAACATTGTTACTTTTAGTATTCTGTCCACCCTTTACCCTCCCAGCACTTCTTCACAGGAGACACCCCACTCGCATACCAAAAGGACCATTGTTATCCCTATCCTCTTGAGACTATCACCACTGGACTGGCAGACATAGGAATAAGTGCAAGCACCCTAGCCCAACAAGATCAATTATTAAAAGCCACCCAACAATTATCAGCCACCATAACCAACCACATGCAGACACTAGCCTGAGTCTGAATCTGATGCAGCAACAGCATGACTCACTGGCACAAATGGTGATGGATAATCAACTGGCATTAGATTTCCTGTTGGCTGAATGGGGTGCAGTCTGTTCTTTACAGGGCACCTCTTGCTGCATGTACATTAACAACTCAGGATAGGTACAGGCCAACCTCCAGAAGATGTCTCAAAGTCTGCAGATCATGCATAATATAAAGTATTTCAACAAATTCCCACACTCCCTGAGGCCCCTGATTTGTTATCATGGCTCTTGTCATCCATGTGGGGGCAATGGCTGAGAATGGGATTTCAAACAGTAGCGTATTCATCATAGGCTTCATTGTTATTGCTTTGGATAAATGTGCTTTAGAATGGCTTCAGAAAGCAATACCTATGTCCTTTAATGTATCTGCTACACAAGTGATTGCTATTCCTGATGCCGAAACATCATGGGATGGATTGTTGAGAGTTTAGCTAAACTACTCCATAATATTGCTGCTTCAGCATCCATTTTGTGTGTCGAAGCAGGCTGCAGGGACCTTAACTGACACTAGCCCCTCCCAAGAATGCATGCCCTAGATAACAGCCGGCAGAATCACAGGTAAATGTACGTTCCTGATATGACTCTCCCAACCGCCCTCGTGATAAGCATTCTCCATCGCCTCCTGGAGCCTTCCCCTTGTGCACCTCTTATGTAAGACCCCCAAGAAGCTTACCAAAACCTCATTCTTTTTGGTTTGAATTGACCAATCCAGCCTTAGCCTGGGAACCCTAAAGCACTCTACCTGCAGAATCCAATACAGGCACATGCCCTAGCTTCTGCCCTGCTCTCTCTGCCTGCACCCTGCCTTGACTTCCCCATGTGGCTCCTTGAGGCATGCCGTGTACCTCCTCCAGGATCTGTGAGTAATAAACTTTTCTATTTCACTTTCCCTTGCAGTCTTTTGTTGAACCGTGGCTCACCATCTGACATCCTGGGGCTCTACTTAACAAATGTTAATTTTAAAAAGTCACAACATGTGTTAACTTGACTGTGCTAAGTGATGACCAGATAGCTGGTAACACATTATTTCTGGATGTGTCTGTGAGGGTGTATCCAGAAGAAATTAATATTTGAGTCAGTAGACTGAGTAAAGAATATCCTCCTTCACTAGTGTGGATGGGCATCATCCAATCCATTGAGGGCCTGAGTAGAACAAAAATGCAGAGGAAGGTTGAATTCTTTCTCCTGCCCTCGGACATCGGAGCTCCTGGTTCTCAAGGCCGTCAGACTCCAAGACTTAAACCAGTGCCTCTCCCCTCCTCTAGGCTTTCCACCTTGGACTGGAAGATACACCATTGGCTCCCTGGTTCCCAGGACTTCAGACTCAGACTGAATTATACCACCAGCTTTCCTGGTTCTCCAGCTTGGCGACAGCAGATCATGGGACTTCTAAGCTGCCATAATAACATGAGCCAATTCAATTCCTATAATAAATCTCCTTTTATATATTTGTATATATATCCTATTGGTTCTGTTTCTCTGGAGAACCCCGACTAATGCAACCACTTTATGTGAATGTGTAAAGGGAAGTAGTAAGAAACAACACTTTCAAATTTAAATCTCAGAGCTTAGAATGGTCAAATTAATTTTGGAAGACTGACTTTCAAGCATTAGATTCTAAATTCTCATTTTTATTTCATAATATCTTCAAATGTTAACCTTAAAAGGTTAGAACAATTATAATTAGAAAAATCTACCAGTAGAGCAATTATACCTCACTCTAGTAAATTTGTTTGAGAACCACTTATCAGTGGTTCCTAAATTGGGCTATATTCATGATAATTTATTCCAAAAATAAAATGATATATTTTCCAATGTGTTCACAAATGTCTATCATCAAGGTTTTTTTTTTGTAGACTAATAGAACTAAAGTTAATGTTTTGTTGTGTTTTTTACTGTAACAATATTAAATATGCTAATTATTGAAAAGTAAATTGCAGGCAGTAGTAAAAACATGGTAAAGGAAGTAAAGATAAACTATTTTATATACATATAGAATTCATATTAGATATCTTCTTAATAAGTCTGGGAAACATCACTTATAAGTAACAACACCTCTTGGTCCTGTCATTTTTTAAAATAGGTTTGTGGCAGACAAACCATTAGGTAACCCCCAATGATTTCTTATTTACTAGCATTCACACCTTTATTTATTCCCTTCCCTTTGTATGCACACAATACCTGTGACTTCTAACCAAAAGCAAATTCTAAACAATGGCAAAAGTGATGGAATGTCACTCCTTTGATTAGGTTATGTTATGTGGCAAAAATCATTTCTATCATTTCATCATGTTATATAAGACTCTCATCAGACTGAAGGAAGAGACTCTCACTGCTGGTTTGACAATGTAAGCAGTTGTGTTTGAGAAGAACATGGGAACAGGAACTATTCCTGCATCATTTAGGACCTAAGGACAGTCTCCTGCTGGCAGCCAGCAAAAAGCATGGAACTTTGGTTATATAGCCACAAGAACATGAATTATGCCAAGAACCTGAATGAACTTCAAAATATATTCTTCCCCAAGTATTCCTCCAGATGAGAATGCAGCCCAGCCAACATTTTGATTCCAGTCTGGTGAGACCCTAAGCAGAGAATGCAGCTAAGTTGTCCCACATCCTTGGCCTATAGAAAACATGATATAATAAATGTATGTTGTTTAAAGCTGTTAAGTTCATGGTAATTTTTAGGCAGGAATAAAAAACAAATACAAGGTTTAATGTGAATCTTAGTTAGTTCTCTGTAAATAATCTATCTTTCAAAAAAATCTTTTTGCAAAATTTACCCTATAGAGAACCCAATGAAGAATATCCATGACATAAAATGAGAAGATGCTATTTTGTCTTGAATGACATTTTCTAAATATTAAACACACCTACAAAACCCTTATGTCATTGAAGATTATCTTCATATTAAGTGGTATGGGAAGCTATTAGATAAATGAGCCAAAGATGGCCCCTGTATATTGGCCCTACATTTTTTCCTTCTTTACAGTAGGCCATAACAATTAGCTTAAAAGCCCACCAGTGCCAAACTCAAATTTTTACACATTTTGCAAGTTTTTACAAATTTACACATTTTACACAATTGCTTTAAAAGTAGCCCTTATAAGCATATTTTTAGCTTTTTAGGGTTTGCCTGATTTTTATACTTGTAAACTGAACTTATAAATCTGCTGACCATAGATAAGGTAGACCCTGAGGCTATAAATGACCCCAAGCCACTGCTGCCCTTCAGAGATCTCTGACTCAGAGTCTGCATCTTGCTGCTGAGTGATATCACTTAGACAGTAAGTTACCTCTTCTATTCCCTTTGTTCCTGGGCGTTTCCTTTCCCTTCTGCCCTTCTGAGTGGTGGGCCTCTGGAAGGTCTCATGCTGTGAGGAACTTCCCCATACCCCATCCTTTATACAAATCTATTAAAGTATCACCCAAATAAAGCTTATGGTGTGCTACTGCCACCTTACGGTCACATTTTTTTCCAAATCAGCTCAGAAATCCCCAAACTCACTACAGAAACTGACCCTCTGCTTATAAATATCATCTCCTTTTCTATAGAAATCATTTCAGAGGTGTAACAGATAAGCTGTCAGGAACTGTATCAGAAGCCATTTGAATAGGCCTTGACCTGTTCTACTAATACCTTTTTTTGATTAGCATTGGAAAAGATTATCTAGTATATTCTTCAGGATTGCTCTTAACAAATTAATATTTTTGTTTTCTTTATAAGCAGGTTTATGAGTTATCTACTGTTGTGTAATAAATTGCCCCAAAATATAGTGGCTTAAAACAACAAACATTAATTACCTCACAGTTTGTAGGAGTTAGGAATTCGGGTGTAGTTAGCTAATAGTTCTGGCACAGCAGCTCTCAGGACATTGCAACCATGGAGTCTGCTAGGACTGCAATCATCTGGAGGTTTGACTGGGTTGTAGGATCCACTTATAAGATTGCTCAATCACATTGCTTTAGGTAAGAATATTCCATTCCTTCTATTGGGCCTTAGCATGTAGCAGTTGGCTTTCCCCAGAGTGAATAATTCAAGAGAGAGAGCAAGGACGAAGCCCTCAATGTCTTTTGTGACATAGTCCCTCTGAGTCATGTACCATCACTTCCACTTTCTTCTACTTATTACAATTGGGTCACTAAATACAACCCACTTTCATAGGATGGTAGTTTGACTCCACCACTTAAAGGATGGAATATTAGAGAATTTGTGGATATATTTTTGAACCATTATAGGAGTGATATCAGCAACAATGACAAAGAAAAGGACTTGAAATCTTGCCCCTCCATAAAACCAATGGACAAAAATTGTCAGAATTAACATTTTTTGAAACTCTGGAAATTAACCAAAGGCTTGAATCAACCTGGGCAATGCTTATTCCAAAAAGTGTGACTGATTCTCAATAAGAACAGCAAACTTTGTGCCATTTTAATTTACCTCAGTCCCATTCCCAAGCCTTGGCTAAATGGTAGCAGTGAAAATAACAGCCCACATTCTGGGACTAGAGGGAGGAGAACAGACTTCATTTATAAGTAAATGTAATTTATTATTTGTTCTTACCTGTCTGGTGGCTACCTGGGAGACTGATTCAAAGTTTTTATCTTTATTTCACCTAACTCAGAACTGACCTAGTGATAAAGATGTTTCCCAGGAGACATTTGTTGAAAACATGTATAAGATAATGTTTTAGGTTGCTGCTGCCTGAAGCAATAGGCAACAGTTGGGGCATATAATACACTAACAAAACAGCTTGAGAGGAAAGGCTAGGGAATGATGTATCTAAAAGGGCTTTGAAAAACTCTGTAAAATTCTTGGGAATCTAAAAAGCCACATGCCTGTACAGAGCTGTGTGCATATTCAGAAAAAAAACTGAGTAGACTCTAAGTCTCTCACCTTCTGCTGACCTTGAGGCTCTATGGAGGTAGAAAATGAAGACAAAGGCAGAATTGTCAACTGCCTGGCTCAGTGTTGGAGATGTGCCCCAACACAGACAGAGCCCATTGTCAAAGATGAAGATTTTTTGTCTTCAGATAGTCAAGGAAATCTCTGCCCAATTATTAGCTGACAGAGGCTTTAGAGGCCACAAACAACAAGGAGAACAGAATTAGTTTTTTGAAGTCACTAAACAGGGGGGTGGGGTGGGGGAATTGGATGAAGGTGGTCAAAAGGTACAAACTTCCAGTTATAGGATAAATAAGTACGGGGGATGTAATGTACAACTTGATGACTATAGTTAACATTGCTGTATGGTATATTTGAAAGTTGTTAAGAGACTAGATCCTAAGAGTTCTCATCACAAGAAAAAAACTTTTGCTTCTTTTTTAAGTATCTATATGAGATGATGGATGTTAAATAAGCATTGTGGTAATTATTTCACAATATATGTAAGTCAAAGCATTAAGCTGTACACCTTAAACTTATACAGTGCTGTATGTCAATTACATCTCAATAATACTGGAAAAAAAGAGAAAATTATCCCTTTGAGGATAAAAAAGTCATTTGAAATATTTTTTTAATGAGAACTCTGTAAAAAGAACTTTGTAAAATCAAAGAAATATTTAAATAATTATACAATTATGCATATAACTACTCTCTGTCTCTTCCTTTCTCTCTCTCACACACACACATGCACACACACACACACACACACACACTCATGCCCTTATACAGATTTGCTAGTATGTTGTTGGTAGTTCTTTATATCATTATTTGAAAGTCAACAAACTGTAGGCTAATAGATTTAATTGGTGTGAAAGAAGAAAATGCTTGGTGTAAATTAAAAAGACATTTGAGAAAATTGCTATTTATTTAATGTGGTATGCAGATTATAGCTTAGTTGGGTAATTGAGTAACTCGGTCATTCTAATGGTTTTTCCATTTTAAATCCAAAGTCTAAACATTAATAGCAGACTTGTTATAAGTAACAGCTTACCACACATATATGTAATGTGGTTTGTAAACTCATTGACAAGATTGTGGAAGCTGAAGTAACATAATCATGTTGCTATACAGAGTGTTGTCTGTCTCTTTTTCTTTCTCTAAGCATCTCAGCTTTGTGTGGTTCCCGAAGAAGAGTTTAACCACGTTCCAGCAAGCCTCCTCATCTTTGACTGCCATCTGCAGTGTTGTGCTCTGTGGACCTGTTTCATGCTTGGTTCAGTTTCTGTAGCATCTGTATTAATGCTATAAAAAAAAGATATTGAATATTAACAAATTCACCCAAATGTCATAGAAGGTTGAGGAAAATACAAGTAGATTGAAATGCAAGCATGGAATTCTGCAGTAAAAAATAATGCATATTACTAGCTACAAAAGAAAAGAACCACAAATAGATAGATTCAAAATACTGTGGAGGGAAACTGGGGAAAATGCAATAATAAGGCCAAAAAAAGCTTAAGGACAATGAGGTAAAAAAAAATAAATAAAGATTCACTTTCATGTGGTTTAGTAAGAAAGAAAAACCAACATTATTAAGAATGCTTATGTATAAAGGCTACCATTAAAACTAAATTTGAGGATTTTTTTCTTATAGCAAAAAAAAGTCACTAAACAATCAACAACTACTACAATAAGCAGCAAAAATAACAATCCTGGAGAGAGGAGAAAATCTGATTTCTATAGTTGCCATATTATAATATTCAAAATTGTTCAGTTTTCAAAATAAATCTATGAGATACACTAAAAATAAGAAAACATGGGGCTATCCCGGTGGCATAGTGGTTAAGTTTGTGCACTCCACTTCGGCAGCCCGGAGTTCACTGGTTTGGATCTCAGGCATGGACCTACACACCGCTTATCAAGCCATGCTGTGGCAGCATCCCACATACAAAATAGAGGAAGATGGGCACAGATGTTAGCTCAAGGCTAATCTTCCTCAGCAAAAAGAGGAGGATTGGCAATGGATGTTGGGCCAGGGCTGATCTTCCTCATTCCCCCCCCCCCAAAAAAGAAAGAAAATA